ACTGTCAGTACTAGTGGCCAATGTGCTTTCCCAATTTGGGTGGCAGAATCCTGCATTAAAATGTTAGAGAAAGCCCACTCAGTCCCATTATAAGTCTTCAGACATCTTTAGGAAGCAACAAAAAGAAATAGAAAGGAAATGGTTTCACTGTAATCTGGAAGTGACAGACATCTGTCTTATCTGTACCACTAATTTAGGCATCCCTCTTGCTCCTGGGTACAGAAGCTATGCAAAGGTTCCTAGCATGGGCAATGCTCTCCTGGCTATGGAGATTTTCTTCTGCATTGTTCAAGCTTTATGATGTGCAAGCTGTGGACTGTACCGGTTGGCAGGGGGTGGTCTCTCTTTTGAGCACCTTTAAAGTGTGTTCTCTAAGCCTTGTATAGCTGAGCTGGGTCCATCCCTTTTATAAGCCTAGCAGACACAGCTACCCATATGTCACTTTCAGGTGCCACTGTTTCCATCTTCCTCATGGTGTCATCTGTGGACTGTGTTCCTCTGGCTGGTCCCACAGTGGCTTTGCCAGGACACCTCCCAGCCACACTCCCTTGGAGGTCTGTTGAGATTCTCATGACAATGGCAGAAGAAGTGAAGGCAAGGATCTACCTCACAGATGGAAATTAAATGGTTACCATGGAGGGTAATGCACATGTTTAGTCCTTCAGGTTCAAATATGCACTCAGCAGCTGCCTATCATGTTAATTAATGGACTCATTTGTAATCAATGTTTTATTTATTCATTCACGCACTCACTCATTCTGAATTGGGGTCTTACTCTGTTGCCCAGGCTGGAGTACAGTGGCACAATCACAGCTCACCACAGCCTCAACCTTGTGGGTTCAGCCTCCTGAGTAGCTGGGACTACAGATGTGTGCCACCATGTCCAGCTAATTTTTTGATTTTTTGTAGAGACAAGTTCTTGCTGTGTTCAGGCTGGCCTTGAACTCCTGGGCTCAAGAAATCCTCCTTCCTTGGCCTCCCAAAATGTTGGGATTACAGGAATGAGCCATCATACCCAACCCCAGATAAATGGTTTTAGCTGAACATCTACTGTGTGCTGAGCCTGGAGTAAGCTGCTGGAACAAGGCAGATGGAATCCCTGTCCTCCCAGAGCTGACACTTGTTGGAGAGATGGAGGACAAACCAGGGAAGGAAAAAAAAAATCAAATAACTGGTAGTGACGTACCATAAAGAACTGCGATGCAGACTGAGGTGTAGGGGATTGCTTCATAGGGGGACATGTTCAGGGAATCTGCCTTTCTAGGGACCTTTAGTCTCTCAAGGAGGCTAAGGGCTTCCCTCTGGGTGTCAGCAGCAGACAGGGCCCATTGGTGCTGTCGGTGGGTCCCTCACCTCTGCCGGGAGTGATGGGGCTGGAGAGGCTCTCCGTAAGGCCACCCTATACCCTGTGCCCTTGTTACTGTTACTGGGGTCACTTGAGGAGAACCTTGACAGGCTCTGAGGCTCTGAAGAGGGGCTCTGGGTATGGGTCCCTGGCTGTGGTCCCTCCCCAGACTTTTCTGCTTTGCCTGCTGAGTCTGGGGTGTTCAGAGCTTCCCTTTCTGGCTTAGGACCACATCAAGCCATCTCCAGACACTGAACCCTGTGCCAGTGGATCAGATTAGTTGTCTCTTCCCCACTGCAGTCGGGTCCCTTGTCCTCTGCCTTACATACTCCTGTCTGGTTCAGGGGAAGGAGTTGCTGTCACTCCTGTAACAGCGGCAGATTCTCCTCTGCAAAAAGCGTTTTACTCCAAGAGGTAAACAGAAATCAGCAATTCCTTAAATAGTAGTGGTTTATTTTTCAAACATTGTAATATTCTTCAAATGAGGTAGGAATCAATAAATCACTTTTGGTCAAGAGATTAGTTTAAAATATAATTGTAAAATTGATTTTTATGATCCTTCCTTATTGTTTCATTATATATTCCCTAAATATACATAATTTTCTGCATCTTCATTTATCATTTGTCAAAAAATAATATTGCTGTTTTCTTCCATTATTATAAAAGGAAAAAGATGAATCAGGCCCTTCAAAACCTTCAGATTGCAGCAACATTTTGAATCTAAAAGAGAAGTCGCCCATCTTACTTGGAATCGGAGTGAATATTTTCCCCTTTACAATCACTATAGAGTTAATGCAGAGATTCCTCTGGAAGTAGAAGGATTTAGGACTGCAAACCATCTCATAAAAAATGACAATTCCCAGTGCTATAGATGTTACCTAGCCAATGGTATTATTGGTACTAAAGGGTTGATTGCTATTAACATAAGCACTAGAGCATTTGTATTTCGGGTTTGCTAGATGACACCCTCTGGTTCTATGCTCATGTGATAACATTAATTAACAGTTTTAAAATATCCAAGTGAGCCACAGGAAACTCCTACACCTCCCAATGGTCCTACCCTTTAGTAGTCCCTGAAGAAAGGGCCCCTACAACCTGGTGCAGTAAGAAATCACTTGCCCTCTGTATCCTTTTGGGCTCTTATGGGTTAAAAAAATGCCCTTTCCTCACCAAATATTCCTCAAACATTGGGGCACTCAAGATTCCTGTTTTTATGAGGGATTTTCTTTTTTATTGGCAGCAAATCTGCAATTAAAACAAACCAAAAAACAAGGTTTGCAAAGGCAGAGCCAGTGTCCTCTCCTCCTAGATGAGGGTGTTATTGGAAGGCTCCAGATAGAAGCTGCTTAGTCTCTAGGAAAATTGACAGGAGCCTGCTTAAGGACTTTCAAAGAAAATGTCACCCAACCAGATACATATGAAATAAGTGTTGATTCTTCTCTCTATATATATTTAATTGTCTATCATTTATATCTATCTCTTATCAATCTATCTAATATCTGTATCTACCATCTATCTATCTATCATCTATCTACCTACCTACCTACCTACCTATCATCTGTTTATATCTATCAACCTATCTAATAATCTATCATATGTATTATCTATCTCTTATTGATACCATCTGTATCTTTCTATCTAGTCATCTATCTGTCTAGTCATTTATTTATCTATCTAATCTGTATCTATCTGCATCTGTATAACTATCATTTGTATCTATTTATATATGCATCATCTATATCCTATCTGTCTATCATATATTTATCTATCTTTATCTATTGACCTATCTATCTAATAATCTGTTGTCTGTATTATCTATCTCTCATCAATCTACCATCTGTATCTTTCTATCTAGTCATCTATTAGTCATATCTTTCTATCTATATCTATCTATCAGCCGTGTCAGTATCTGTATATCTATCATCATTTGCATCTATCTATATATCTATCTCTCATCAATCTATCATCTGTATCTTTCTGTTTATCTATCTAGTCATTTGTTAGTCCTATCTATCATCTATCTATCTATCTATCTATCTATCTATCTATCTATCTATCTATCTATCTTCTGTATCAGTTTCTGCATATCAACCATCATTTGTATCTATCTATCTATGCATCATCTATATATCTATCTAGCCATCCATCTATTGGGTGTCGGAGGCGGGGGGGAGGACAGGAATGACAACAGAGCAAGCAGGAGAGAGTAAGTTGCCCTTACTTCAAGTAACCTCAACTTCCTCTCCTCTCAGATAGAGCTGGTGCCTGTGTGTCATTGTGCAAAGTCACTGAAAGAGGAAGTGAATGGACTACATTTAGGTTGAATGATGAGCTCAGGATGCTTGGTGATAGTCAGGAATAGAGTCCACTCCTTGCTCCTGGGTTGGGGCTTTTGTTCCTGCCTCAAAATGCCCCAAATCTCCGGTCTCCCAGCTGGATGTGCGCCTCACGCTGCTGGCATCCCCTGCTCCAGGTGCAAGCCCAGGCACAGCAAGTCTCTTGGCTCAGGTCCCAGGAGAGGTGGGTCCTGTCCCCAGTTCTAGCTCAAGATAACTACAGGGCAATGCTCATCACTTCACCTGTAGACAGGGAGTTGAATTCCCAACTCTGGTTGCACCTGGAGCCTTTTTTAAAATGTAGATTTCTGGCCACTCCCTAGGGACATCGATTATCAAACTCAGTCTTCTCTCCAGAACCATTCCCACTGGGCAGGGTAGGAAGACAGCCCTGAGTCTGGGATGGTGCCCCAGTGTCTGCAGTTAAAAATAAAAAAGGGGAAAGAAAAAGATGCTTTTGATGATTCTGATCTGTAGCCTTCACTGGCTGGAGGATTTTAAAAGATTTTCCCTTCCATGATTGGACAATTGTATTGATTTTTTTGGTTTCGCTATTTGCCTGCACTCTGCACATGGGACATTTGTATCTATCTATCTATGCATCATCTGTAAGGTATACAGCACAAAGGGAACATCAGCCTGAACCTTCACTTCACTCTGGCTTACATCCTATTTTCAACAATGTAAATTGGTTAAATCCTTCTGCCTTTGCAAACAAATTGCTAATCCTACCTTGTAGGAACAAAATATGAAAATGGTGAAAGTTCAATTTAACCGTGAAGGTCAAGTGGTTATTTGGTTATAAGGATGATAAAAATTGAAACCCTGATTACAATAAGCAAGTCTCATAGGAAATAGAAATATACACAGAAACCTAATGAATTACTTTGTTACCTCTGAGCTGTGCTGAATATCAGCTACTACTGGGCCAACACCTCTAGCACTATCTAACTTGTACCTACATGAGATATCAGAGGAAAATAACAGCACAGCTAATATTTTAAAAACAATATATAAATGATGGCCTTTGGGGACAGAAAATTATGTACAGAAATATATGAAGTGTTGAGACTGTCCTTGAGTTTCACTATCCCTCTCAGGTATAGAGTTTGGGCACCCAGAAGATGGTGGGTTCTGAACTCTATCCAAAAGCTCACCGGGATTTTTCTTTGCTAACAACCTCTCATGCTGGGGTCTCCACACTCAAGCTCTGAGTGTGCCCCTTGGTGACCTGCCCGACTTTGCTTATCTAATGCTGCTGTCTGCTTTCCTATTTTCAGCTTAGAGATTGCCTTACATTTGTGTTTTTCTTTCTACAGATGGGCAGAAGAAAGTTCAAGAAGAGTTTGACATTGATATGGATGCACCAGAGACAGAACGTGCAGCGGTGGCCATCCAGTCTCAGTTCAGAAAATTCCAGAAGAAAAAGGCTGGGTCTCAGTCCTAGTGGAAGATCTCCATCCTGATCCACCTGAAGACACCAAACTCAACCATCATCAGTCAAGAAATTAAAAGAACAATACCCTAGACAGAAGTCATTCACACACAACCCACACATGTGCAGCAAACCTACAATGCATGTACAGAAACTTGTGATATTTATACCCTGTAGAAAGGTGTAGACATTGAAATTGTGAGTAGCTTAATCTCTGTTTATCTCCATTCTCATTCCTCCTGCAACTATTTTCCTTGATGTTGTAATAAAATGGAGTTAAGATAAGTGATTCAAGTGTGTGCCTTTGTCCCTTTCTTTATATTAATCTGGGAAGTTACTGAGTGTTAGAGGTGACTGCAAGCCGCATGTCTATTTTCTTCTTTTTTTGAGTTAGAGATGTAACACAGTGCCTTCTGCAGAGGAGTTTTGGTGCTGAGAGTTAGAGACCCATTCTCGGTCAGGTCTGCCTCATCTGAAGAGTCCTAACTGCTACCTGGCAATGGCATTGTATTTTCTTCATATGATGGGAATAGAGTCCTGTATCCTGGGGTACTGGAGATGGAGAATTTTCACTGGGGGATTATGACTGATTCTGGAGAACCAAAAGGGGGAGGGGGAGGCAACTGTGTTTGGAGGATCTCAAGATTTACTCAGCATCTCCAAGGGGAACAACCCACCCTGTTGAGGGCCATTTTGCAGCTCTGCTGCAGTCCTCTGCACTGGTGAACTCCAAGGGGCAGGTGCCTGCTCCAGGCTTTCTGAGCTCTGCCATGCTCCATGCTGTGACGTGCTGCTTCTTAGGGTTACTTATCACAACCTACAATTTGGAGAATCTTTCAGACTTCTCTCCCACCACATTTTCTCCCCTGTATACTTCACAGATAAACTGCTTCACACACCCCACAGCAGTTTTGTAAGCAGAGAGGAGATCCAAGGGGTGGGCTCAGCCCATCAGAATCTTTCTCTAGTAAGTCTGAACTAATTGTCATGGAAACTGAGCCAGTTAATGGACAGAGAAGTTGAATTGGGGACAAAGCTGGTGTAGTGACAGGTTAAAGCTGCAAATAAGATCTAAGAAAACATTATTTTTTTCTAAGACGCTGCAAAAGCCCATGTGAAGAGAGATGCAGGTAGATGCAGGAGAGAATTTAAGGCTCAAGATACACGGGTCCACGAAAGATGGATGGATAACCTGAGTGGAGTTAGTCATTTGGTTGTAATGAACAGAAACCCACTTACACTAGTTAACAAAAAGAGAATTATTAACAAAAAAAGAGAATTATTCAGGTCTCACAGACATCTAAGAATAGAACATTCAAGACACTCAAAAAAAGAATAAAATGACATGAACAGGCAGAATTGTATTCAATTTATAAATAAACTGGGGCACAGTGGGGAAGAATTGACATCTTTATATTATTGTCTTTTTAATATTCTATGACGTTCAGTAAAATTTTATAGTTTTCTTCATATAGCTCTTGCACATTCTTTTTGTTCTATTTCTAGGTGCTTTGTAGTTTTTGTTGTTCTTCTAAGTAGAATCTTTTCCCAAAACATTCCATAGTTTATTTTGCTGTCTAAGAGAATTACCATTTTTTGTAGTTTTAACTCTGTGACTTTTCATCTTACTGAACTACATAATACTGATTGTTTTTCAGTAAATTTTTTTTGGTTTTCAGATAATCTGTCCTATCATATGCAAATGACATTAATGCTGTCTCTTTTTTTTTCCACTACATCACATTCTTTTTTCCCTTATTATCCATTCTTGAATGTTGAGGACAGCTTAAGGATTATTTCAGTCTCAACAGTTATAGTGACAGACCATCTCATGGGATGGTCACTTGCCTGTGTCATCTATTTTGGATTGATTGATTTTAAATTCATAGATAATATTTTCTTAAGTCTTGTGGGTTTTTTTTTTTTATTATACCTTTGAATGCACAGATTTTATGTATCCTGAAGATAAATCTAGATACATTAATATAACTGTAAGGGGACAATGGTTTGGAAGAAAGAGTTTAGGGATAGAGCTTGTTGGAGATTCATGTTTAAGATGAAAATTCATATTAATGCCATGTTTAGGATATTTCACTTGATTCCAATTCACATCATGGATGATAGAGGTGGGATACTTTGGCCACTCTGTAATGTCCAGTGTGTTAGTCAGCTAGGCCTATTATAACAAAATGCCATAGACTCATGGGTGGCTTATGCAATAGTCATTTATTTCTACAGTTCTAGGGACTAGGAAGTTCAAGACCAAGGTGATGGAAAACTTGGTCCTGGTGAGGGCTTTCTTTCTGGCTTGCAGACTGCCATCTTCTTGCTATGTTCTCACATAGCAGAGAGAGAGAGAGAGAGAAAGAAAGAGAGAGAGAGAGAGAGAGCGCTCTGGTGTCTCTTCCTGTTCTTATAAGGGTACTAATCCCACTATGGGACCCCAACCCTCTTGACTTCATCTAAGCCTAATCCTTCCAAAGGTCTCATCTCCTAATATCTTGGAGGTTAGGAATTTACCATATTAATTTTGAAGGGACACAAACATTTAGTCTATAACATTCAGCTCACCCTTGAGCTTCATTTTTTCAATTTGATCTGACTGAATAATACATTGGACTTTATTCCCTGCCCAACTGATTTACTGTATGACATGGATTTATGCTCATTGCCTGACACTCTTCCCTGCTGGTTGTTGCTTGAAGGTGGGCTCCGTTTTCCTCAGGATTATAACAATGCACTCCGTTCAGTGCCACATTGCCCTTTTGGAAGTCGTTTGCTCTTTTGTTAACAGTCACTTAATTGAATAAGAATTAAGGGTGAGCAGAATGCTGCTATGCTTTATGTGGCCTCCACAGGAGTTAGGCCTCTGCAGAGCAGGTATAATAATGGGTTTGGGCTGACACACGTGTCCCAATGCAGCTGAAGGGCAAGGTTCAGTCAGGCTTTATGAATAAAACAACCAGGGGATTGTTAAAAGTGGAACCACTGGACTTCTTGGTCTCTGCTCTATAAAGCTGATTTGAATGTGAAATTTTTGAAACCCAAAAAACTAACCACTTATTACTTCTTCTTTTTTTTTTTTTTTTTTG